GCCATGAGAGCAGCATGCCCTCCTGCCTCAGCACCTCCTCACCTTCCCTGTGATGCCAAACAGGGTCAGGTACTCAAACAGCAGCTTCATGTCCCCCAGCCCTTCCTTGGCCAGCTTGTTCTGGGACAGCTCTGGGTCCTGGAGAAGCCTCTCGATCAGGTCCAGCCCACCTGTGGGGACCAGCCATGCCTCAGGTGTGCCAGGGCAGCAGCACCTGCCATGGCCAGCCAGGTTTGTGCCCTCCTCCCTGTGATACACAGTGTCCTCAGTCAGCCAGATGTGTGCCCTGCACCTCTATCCCTGGCCCTCCCTGGGGCTCGACCCTGTGGTGCTCACCATGGAGCTGGACATACTCCCCGATGCGATCCGCAGCCTCTGGAGAGAGCCCCTTCTCTCCCACCATCTCACTCCTCACTTCTTCCCATGCCACCTGTGAGGGGAAAGAGGGACATCTATTGCTGCAGTACATTCTCCTCACCCATTTCCTCCACCAGCCCACATGTGCACAACATGTGAGGGACAATAATCAGCAGTCTCACTAGTCACCTGTCCCTCTCTCTCTCTCTCTCACAGAAATTAGGAGAATCCACTGGAATCACCAGGCTTTATTGCTAATGACACCCAAGAGCTCCCCAAACCCTTTACCCACACCAACAGCTTCGCTGCCTTGAAGCAAGAGCAGCCATGACACTGTCCAGACTCAGACACACACTCCAGGGAGCAGAAACCCCTCCCCCTAAGCCCAGCACTGACCTTATCCAGCTTGTCCACGGTGGAGCAGGCAGATATGAACTTGCTCTCTGGAACACCACAGACAGCAAATATGCCATTCAAAATCCGCCGGTCGTTGACCTGGGGGAGGGAGAGGCACCTTAGCTCAGGTGACATCTCCCTGGTATCATTCCTTTTGTGGGAAGCTGCAGCTCTTAGCTTTTCCTCATGCCTTTTCCCCAGTACCCTGATCCCACAGGAAGGGAAGGCACAGAGGTATGAAAACCATTCCGTGATTCTATGGTTCTAATTGGCTGCTGGAATTTTGCAGGAGACTGGTTACTTCTAGAGAAAACTCTGCCAACTGCAGCCTCAGGAAACCTCCTGAAAGAATTCTTCCCTGTGAGGGTGCTGAGGCACTGGAACACATTGCACAGAGCAGCTGTGGCAGCCCCATCCC